CTGAACATCAGTTGATTGACAGGTGAGAAGCGGGACCAAAGAGCCAGAGCTCACCCCCCTTCCCCGCAAGCACAAGTAGGTGAGTACATGCACATATATATATATACCAGTTTTTTTTTCAAGTATTGGGGGGACGGATTTCTGGTCAGTATTTCATCTGGGAATTATATACTGTGGGGTTGGATTTTCATCTAGTAAATCGAGGCTCTTGGGCCACAGCTGTTGGAGCGGGGCGTCTCATCTTGGAGTAATGTGTTTAACATTGGGTCCTCGAACACGCCAATGATGTTTCACACCCTGATGGCTTGGTGCTGTAGTCTGATGTTTAGTGGCTGTATGTTCAGGACCTCATGGAGCTCCTGGATTGTCTGATCATATGTTGGATGGTGTTTTGCCTCTCTCCTTAGTGCCTTATTTTGCACTGCTTTTAGTTTTTGCATGTTAGTTTTCTTTAAGGTGTGTAGTGGTAAAATGAACAAATCCACAAGGGCCGTGACGAGGATTCGAACCTGCGTCCGGGAGCATCCCAGACACTGCCTTAATCGACTGAGCTACGACAGGGTAAAAGGGTTGAAACCGAAGTTCTACTGAACTTACTGGATCCCGTAGCCTCTCCGAGGCACAAACCAGGCTTGTGGATTTGTTCATTTGATGCATCACGTTAGTGTGATCTCTGTGTGTGATGATGTAAGGGCGAAGAGGGAGAACGGCCTATTGACATAGCTCGGGTGCAGGGGGGGGGGGTTGTGTAAAAGCCTGGTTTGTGCCTCGGAGAGGCTCCGGGATCCAGTAAGTTCAGTAGAACTTCGGTTTCAACCCTTTTACCCTGTCGTAGCTCAGTCGATTAAGGCAGTGTCTGGGATGCTCCCGGACGCAGGTTCGAATCCTCGTCACTGCCCTTGTGGATTTGTTCATTTGATGCATCACGTTAGTGTGATCTCTGTGTGTGTGTAGTGGTACTGGGCGATACTCTAAATGCGCCCGAAATAGAGCCTTATATATGTGTATCTGTGTGTTTGTACTAAGGCTTCGGAATCTCCTCAGTTTTCCAAAGGCTGCTTTGGCTTTGTTTAGTCGGTCCCTTACTTGAATTTTTATCCCTGTTCTATTGATCAGGGGTCCCAGTATTCTGCTTACCTCCACATATAGGATTGGACAGTTGTCATGGATAATGGGGTATGGGTTTCTTTTTGCAATGTGCATTATCTGGAACTTTTGTTTGTGCTAATTTTCCATTGCTTCTCAAAATTGTTTATAAATTCTATTGCTGCCTTGGTCCTGTTGGCGAGTAGCTGCTTTGATGGTCCCGGTTGACATATTATTTGGGTGATATCGTCAGCGTATGTGATGTATTTCCCATGCTAGGGTTGGGGTAGGTGATGAAAAATGTGACAGTGTCAGATCACAAAGGAAGAAATGAAACAGGAATTTCTTTAAGTACTTTCCTATATTAATACAACTTCAGAAGGAATGATTTACAGGTCAAGTATTGGACATATATAGGCAGAAGAGAGAGGTGAAGTACAATGAAAAATGAATGGGAATTACTTAGACACAAACATAAGCTGCACAAGAACTGCAGAAGGCCTATTTTCCCAAACAATGCAGCTGCTATTCTTACCCACCAATAGGCCCACACATTGATAATAATACCATAAGATAGTCAATATTTACAATGAATTAGTGAGACAAATGTGTATCAATGATCCAGCTCAAATCGCCCTTTAATTGATCTATCAATAATGGATCTAAGTTATATAAACCACTGCTAATGTTCAAATTACTTTCATTTGTAATCTGTATTAAAGCAGATTCAATTATGTTCCTGTTAGAAGTGCTTTTACAATTCGTTATTGAAGAAGCCATCTCCCAATCGATTTGGTGAGCATTTTCTGACAGATGAACAAACAAAGCATTAGACAATTGGCCATGTCTTACAGAGTATTTATGTTGCGAAATTCTACATTTCAAATCTTTAGATATTTGCCCAACATAGAACCTATTACAGTTTTTACAAGGTATTTTATAAATGACACAAGTATCACTACGAGGACTGTTTCTAGCTAATAGCTTACCAACAGTATTTTCGTAGCAAAACAATACATGTATATCAAAAAGTTTCAAGACCTTGACAATATTCTCAAACCAAGAGAAATGTGGTAAACATAACACATTCTTTGGGCGAATTTTTCACTGCATATATTATTATAATATGTACGACGTGCTTTGCTACGGCAAATTTCCAAAAAACTCAGTGGGTAACAAAGCTTGAGACCAATAGAATCAATATTCTTAAACTCTTCATCTAAGAATTCTGGACTCACAACCCGAAGAGCTCTTAGATACATTGAAGAAAAAATAGATTTTTTCACATTGTATCTATGCCCTGAAAAATAATTAACATAAGATAAATTATTCGTAGGTTTTCTGTAGACACTAAACTTTAGTGAAAAATCTTCCCTATCAATAAGTACATCTAGGAATGGCAAACATTTATCAGTTTCAGTCTCCATAGTAAATTTTATAGAGGTGACTTGATAATTAAGTTTGGCCACAGATTCGTCAGTGTTTATATCTGTAGGCCATATACGTAAAATATCATCAACATATCTGAACCATGGAATGATTCCAGGGGTAATTTTTAAAACAAATTTCTTTTCGAAGAATTCCATGTACAAGTTTGAAAGCAATGGCGATAAAGGATTCCCATTGCCATTCCAAAAGTCTGTAAATAATACTCATTATTAAAGGTAAATTTACATTCTTTAATGCACAACTTAGCAAGATTGACAATAATATCAGCAGAAAGAGGTAAAACATGATTCATTAGTTCATGAGCAAGATAATCAAGAATGTCAACCGGTACCTTTGATCAGCCTTTGTTATATGAATGGAGGGGTCGGCTCCTGTAAGAGAAGACCAAAAACCAAAAGCATAAATGACCCAACAAAATTAAAAAATCTAAAGTTAGCCAAATAAAAATAAAAACCAATATTCCAATAATACCAAAAATCCAGTATAAAGCCAAAATGAAAGAGACAAAAACCAGGCTAGGCAAGGAACTAGGGGACTTACTAATTGTGACTGGTAAAACGTAACTGGGATAGAGAAAAAAAATACACATACATGACAATGGACAAATAACCTTACAGAAGGGATAAAATGCTAATAAACCGAAATAGGAAACCAAGAGCATAAATGAGATAGAAGCAAAATTTGCCACCCACAAATAAAACGGCATTCCAAATAATGTTCCAAAATTCCAGGAAGTCAGTAGTCCAATATGTCCATTAAATAATCCATTTTAAACAAATAAACCAAATTAATACCTGAGAACGTACATAAAGCAATGAATTAAGTAAGAGTAGCACCAAGGGGGAGCCAAATAAAAGAAAAATTGTATAAATCAAGCATTCCATTAATATACAAAACCCAGTATAATTCCATTAAAAGAGGGGCAAAATGACCAGGCTAAACAAAGAATGAAGACCGTACTTAACCTAATTTATAATAAATAATAAACCGAATGTATGGATAAACCAAAAAAAGCACAAGGCGAACATAATAACTTAACCAGCTAGGAGCATAGTACTACGATAGGACAACCAGCTGGACTAACTGAGAAAAGTGGCCCAACAGAATATCATTATTGTAAAAACCATCAACTAAATAATGCAGCCCCCCTACCCCCAACGTGGACTGCCCGACCAACACAAAGGGTGATGCGGGCCGGGCGATACCCCAATTCCCAGGAAGCCTGAAGCTGGCTTGGCCTGCAAGCTGGGCGTTGGAGGTGCGGAAAGGGGGCCCCAGGATGTTGCTTTCACATGACCTACAAGGAGACTGCCCGCTCGATCGGGCTCACCCTCGAGGCCCAAGGAGACAGAGTGACCGGCAGGAAGCCTCCAAACAGACGTGGGGAGGGCTAAGGGGCAGGGGCACAGGTCGCTTGCACACGACCTGCAAAGGGACGCGACGCTGACCACACGTCCGTCGGGCACCGCAGGGCCTGTCGAAGCCTCAGGGGGGCACCAGCCCACTCGAAGGGGGTGACGTCTAGTGCATCAACAAAAGATGAAAACCATTACCTGTTGATGCCAACTGCCAAATCCAAGATCCCACTCATCCATACCTCAGGGGTCGACGTCCTGTCTCACAAATGAAAGCCTGCAGGCAGGGTTGAGGCTGGACAAAGGTTGTGGCTTCCGCGCAAGTGCTTAAGTAGCCCCCCTCGTTGGGCTTATTTCCTTCCCACAGAAACTTCATCGCTTTTGCAAGCAATGACCATATCTGTGCTCAGGTGATAATAGGGGCAATGGATACCTTGGTTGAAGGCTTTTTGTGCCATGGAGATTTCTTCGAATATTACTTTCATCATGGTTGATAATCCTGGCATGAGAATTACTTCTTCTACCTTGGCCAATTCATTTCTTTGTTCTATGTCGAGTTTAATATTTTCAGGGGTATGGATAGTAAGTGCTGCATCAAGTCTCTTCAGGACTATTGTCTTCCTGGCCTGCAGCTCCGGAGGAATAATGACCTGAAAACGTTTATCTATCAATTTACGTACATTGATGACTGTGTCAACATCTTCATACTGGTAGCATAGTGCTATAAATGAGGAATCCTTTGTGGGTATTAGTTTAGAAAATCGTACCCTGAGAGAGAACAAGAGATTGGCTAGTTCATTCTGTTTATCATAGCTTGTTTCCCCCGCAGGGGAGTGGATTTTTACTCGGTGGCCTCTCATTGTCTCAGTACTTGTTCATTCTATTCAGTTTTCTTTCTTTCTCTTCCTAAGAATAAGCTCTCCTTAGCTGAGGGCTAGGCACACCGTCCTTCCACTTGGTTGGTTGGGACTAGTAGAGGTTAGCCCACAGTGACTTATTCTCCTATGTGCTATGTGTGGACAGACGGTCCCCTAAGACAGCCTAACCCTGCTACAAGGGTGAACAGATGCCCTAATCAAGTGCCCCCCCCCAGATTTTACAGGTAACCGCATGGGCCACTGGACCGATCTACTTGACTTGTTGAAATATCGAAGTGAGAAGAGTAAGAGAAAGTGGGGAAGATAAGTCTTATAACTTAGAATGTACAGGTGCTATGTACAAAGCTGGCATCTTTGTAATGTTGGTGGCTGTGTCTCCCTCCTGTTAGGGAGGGGATGGTAGAGACCGTTGGGTCAGTGCCTTGACCGTAAGGGTCAGGGGCCCGTGGGGGTCAGATTACGATCCCACCACTCTCCTTGGTGTAATTGTTGCCTGAAGCTGGTGAAGCCTTTAGGATATATCGTCTTGCTAGAGAGTCTTACAGTGAGCCCCAAGTACTCTGTGCAAGTGATGCTGTGTTCTTAGCACCAGCAATGCATCAAACTCTAACGTTTGGTAGAGTGCCCCTCGTAGGGAGCAGTGGGGGGCAGGCTAGCTTGCCTCTAGGCCTCAAGCGACTAAGCCTGAATGTCCTCCCGGGATATCAGTTCACTCTAGGGGTCCTCTTTTACTAGTGACTTATGCAATAGTGTCATAACACTCAGCAGCACAATAGTATTGTGTCGATACAACCAGGCAATCAAACACAGGGGATGGGTACGAGGGACTTAACCCCTAGAGAGGAGATGAGGCGCGCACATCCTCTCAGCCTAAGGCCTGGCGGGCGAGTATGGGGCAGACATGTGGTGGGGGCGGATGTGTGGTGTTGGCAGATGGAGGCCTTAACTCAATAAACTCATTCATACCAAAAATAGCTTATTTTATCTCATAATTGGTAAAATCAATACACATTTGTTATGCGTATCTAAAATTCATCTTCATTTACTTTACCAAAGAAACTTATTCTTTTTCTTATTACATTTCAGTCAAATATCAAGCCAGTGTGTCTGGCATGGGGAGAGGAGAGCAGTTACAGTCTGGTTGGACAGAGCGTCACAGTAACTGGCTGGGGCAGCACCAAGTTTGGTCAGTAACTATTTTGCATTTAAAAAATTTAACCAAATATATTTAAAAACGTTTGTACTTCTAATGTGGCTTGAGTTTCATGTCATTCCATATACCTGCATCTCCAGCCGCTTACTTTCTCTATATTTGGAAAAACTTTCCAATTATATCTTCGAGTATTGCTGTAAACTCTTCATGCATAGTCATTGCAAACTTACTCTGATCTTCACACTCTAGAGTCACGCTGGACAACATACTTGTCTACAATCCCCCACACTACAATACCTCAGCTCATGGATGAAAAGCTACCTTGCGTTAATTTGATTCCGGGGGTCAAGGATCCCTCGCCGGTCTCTGACCTCCTGGTTGATGGTTAGCTGAACCAGGATGTTGGACGTGGCTGCTCGAAGCCTGGCGTATGAATCACAGCCTAGTTGATCAGGTATCCTTACCTGCCACTTTCTCATTATTCTTGGCAGTAATCATGATTAAAGCCGACCTGAAGCATACACAACAGTGTAGTTATAAACACAATGAACACAGGACTGACTACAGATTACACTCAGACTGGTCTATAACAGAGCGTCTTGTCCGTACTAATCCTCACTTGGAATGGCATGGAAGAAGTTATTTCAAATAACTTTTTAATATAATAATAACTTTAATTTAACAATTAAAACGTGCCCAGGACCAGACAAAGTAATTACCAGGGTTCTAGAAGAATGTAAAGATAAACCTAGTGAGTTTTTAATAAACCATCAGTACCGAGAAGAGTATCACAATCATGAACAAATATATCTGTTATGTAAGTAGTGAAGTAGTTTGTTATGTAAGTAGTGAAGTAGTTTATTATGTAAGTAGTGGAGTAGTTTGTTATGTAAGTAGTGAAGTAGTTTGTTATGTAAGTGGTGAAGTAGTTTATTATGTAAGAAGTGAAGAAGTTTGTTAAGTAGTGGAGTAGTTTGTTATCTAAGTAGTAGAGTAGTTTGGTATGTAAGTAGTGAAGAAGTTTGTTATGTAAGTGGTGAAGTAGTTTATTATGTAAGAAGTGAAGAAGTTTGTTAAGTAGTGGAGTAGTTTGTTATCTAAGTAGTAGAGTAGTTTGGTATGTAAGTAGTGAAGAAGTTTGTTATGTAAGTGGTGAAGTAGTTTATTATGTAAGAAGTGAAGAAGTTTGTTAAGTAGTGGAGTAGTTTGTTATCTAAGTAGTAGAATAGTTTGGTATGTAAGTAGTGAAGAAGTTTGTTATGTAAGAATTGGAGTATATAACAAATCCACTAGTTATTTTAGTAGAAGATACTATTTTTATTTGTATGATTAATTGTTGCTGTAGATATACTAAATTGTCTTAAGCAAAGCCTTCGAATGTGTTCCTCACGTTAAGAATGTATGTACTTACTTTCTTAGTGTCACAGGCTTATGATTGTTCTTAAGAATGCATAAGAGCGTTCTTAAGAACATACTATGGTTTTGCATAATAAAATATATTAAAAGGATAAATACTAATACATCTGAACAGTATTTATCATCGTTTGCCTTTACTTTCTTAGGTGGTTTTCCCAGCTCAGTGTTGCGGGAAGTGAACGTGACAGTATTCCAGTCGTCAGAGTGCGATCAGAGCTACTCTACTCTGTCATATTACCCCACTATATGGCCTCAGGGTATTGGGCAGGAGACTGTGTGTGCTGGAGACCGCAATGGGCGACGCGACGCCTGCCAGGTAATACCAGTGAGGGTTCCTCTACACTGGTGCGATGTTTTTGTGTCGAGATGTTTATCTACACTTCCCGTTGTTGTGATGAATATGATACTGACAGCAAACACATTGCACATATATTGAAGTACATAATAATATTATATATTAAATATTTAATATTTAAAATTCCATCAGTTACTAACTATTATAATAAACATGGCAATACCAACACTGGTATGCTTAATAACTCAATATGCTTAAGGCCACATCGGTAGGCCTACTTTTCCCACCACACCGGTAGGCCTAGCTCTTCCCACCACACCGTTAGGCCTAGCTCTTCCCACCACACCGGAAGGCCTAGCTCTTCCCACCACACCGGTAGGCCTAGCTCTTCCCACCATAGGATGAGTAGCTGTACTCCAAGTTCTCATGTGGTGAATACTTTAAGACCTGTTAACCAAGGAAGGTTATAAAGGCCATATCAACAGCCAACTAAGCAACCAGCAAGTTTGTTGTAATTCATGACTTTGTTCAGGACTAATGTAAACTCAGTGTATATGTTCAGAAAAATTGAGTATTCCTCTCGATGCATGTATACCCTGCTTGACAACACAGTACACATCTCAGTGCACGTATACCCTGCATGGCAATACAGTATACCTCTCAGTGCACGTATACCCTGCTTGGCATCACAGTATACCTCCCAGTGCACGTATACCCTACTTGGCAACACAGTATACCTCTCAGTGCACGTATACCCTACTTGGCAACACAGTATACCTCTCAGTGCACGTATACCCTACTTGACAACACAGTATACCTCTCAGTGCACGTATACCCTACTTGGCAACACAGTATACCTCTCAGTGCATGTATACCCTGCATGGTAACACAGTATACCTCTCAGTGCACGTATACCCTGCTTGACAACACAGTATACCTCTCTGTGCATGTATACCCTGCTTGACAACACAGTATACCTCTCAGTGCATGTATACCCTACTTGACAACACAGTATACCTCTCAGTGCACGTATACCCTACTTGGCAACACAGTATACTTCTCAGTGCATGTATACCCTGCATGGTAACACAGTATACCTCTCAGTGCACGTATACCCTGCTTGACAACACAGTATACCTCTCTGTGCATGTATACCCTGCTTGACAACACAGTATACCTCTCTGTGCATGTATACCCTGCTTGACAACACAGTATACCTCTCAGTGCATGTATACCCTGCTTGGCAACACAGTAATAATTAGAGGTGTACCTATTGGACTCGCCAATTTTTGTAATCTCGGTATTGGTCAATGTTCAGCAGATAGGGTGTAGCATTTTCTTCTTAGGGAGGTGTAGTTGAGTACAGGAACCTCTACACCAGTAGACTACTACCTCTACACCAGTAGACTACTACCTCTACACCAGTAGACTACTACCTCTACACCAGTAGACTACTACCTCTACACCAGTAGACTACTACCTCTACACCAGTAGACTACTACCTCTACACCAGTAGACTACTACCTCTACACCAGTAGACTACTACCTCTACACCAGTAGACTACTACCTCTACACCAGTAGACTACTACCTCTACACCAGTAGACTACTACCTCTACACCATGGTTGAGAGGCGGGACCAAAGAGCCGAGGCTCAACCCCCCTCAAGCAACTACCTGTTTGGTGAACTATCATTCCATCATCACTCTGTTGTGTCAAGTGTCACTCCACCATCAACCTGTTGTGTCAAGTGTCACTCCACAATCAACTAGTTGTCTCAAGTGTCACTCCACCATCTAGCTGTTGTGTCACGTGTCACTCCACCATCAACCTGTTGTGTCAAGTGTCACTCCACCATCAACCTGTTGTGTCAAGTGTCACTCCACCATCAACCTGTTGTGTCAAGTGTCACTCCACCATCAACCTGTTGTGTCAAGTGTCACTCCACCATCAACCTGTTGTGTCAAGTGTCACTCCACCACCTTGCTGTTGTGTCACGTAGCACTCCACCATCAACCTGTTGTGTCAAGTGTCACTCCACCATCAACCTGTTGTGTCAAGTGTCACTCCACCATCTAGCTGTTGTGTCACGTGGCACTCCACCATCAACCTGTTGTGTCAAGTGTCACTCCACCATCAACCTGTTGTGTCAAGTGTCACTCCACCATCAACCTGTTGTGTCATGTGTCACTCCACCATCAACCTGTTGTGTCAAGTGTCACTCCACCATCAACCTGTTGTGTCAAGTGTCACTCCACCATCTAGCAGTTGGGTCACGTGTGAGTGATAGCCTCGGCTATCACTTCCTTTTGACGGCCGTGATGGTCAAGCGGATTAAGGCGCCCTGTAGTTACCAGTTGCGTTGCTTCTGGGAGTATGGGTTCGAGTCACTTCTGGGGTGTGAGTTTTCATTCGCATATAGTCCTGGGGACCATTCAGGCTTGTTCGCATTTGTGTTCCTCACGTGTGCCCCAAAGAATGAGGTGATTTGGTGAAATGCTATGCCCAAGATTACCATCCGAGTTGCCGTCGGGGAAGTGGCTCAAATAGCCTCGGCTATCACTTCCTTTTGACGGCCGTGATGGTCAAGCGGATTAAGGCGCCCTGTAGTTACCAGTTGCGTTGCTTCTGGGAGTATGGGTTCGAGTCACTTCTGGGGTGTGAGTTTTCATTCATATATATATATATATATATATATATATATATATATATATATATATATATATATATATATATATATATATATATATATATATATATTTTTAATGATATATATACATATATACACACAGAAACAAAGATTCTTCTATATAGACATTAGAGAAGATTCAGCGGTATGCCATGCACCAGGCTCTCCGCTATTTTCATTATTCGTCATATCCGACTCTGCTATGTGATGCACATGTATTCTTGCTTCACCACCCTGTAATGAAATATTGTTTGTTACTAATTGTTTTCAATAATACATTATTTTATTATATAATATTTAATTTATTAATTAAAAACCCTTTCCATATTATAGAAAAAAACTAAAACAAGAATCTATATAAAACTATAGAATAGAATAGACTAATAGAATAGAATATATATATCATATATATATTTATATAAATAAATATATATATATATTTAAATATATGTATATATATTTATATATATATATATTATTATATCCTGTATTATTCCTGTATTATTCCATTATAACCAGTAGGCAGTCTACTGTATTTTATCAAACCGTTATTAGTATAATAGATCTCGTAATAATTTTGCAAAAATAATGGCATTTACTATTTTTAAAAGATTATTAGCAAATTTACAGAAATGGTGCATTCGGAAGACAAAACCGTGGTAGACATGGTTGGAACAAGTTAGGTGAGAGGGTGGTGGAGGCCAAAACCATAATCATAATCATCTGTATCAAACCTTATTACAGGTAAAACCAGTAGGCAGTCTACTGTATTTTATCAAACCGTTATTAGTATAATAGATCTCGTAATAATTTTGCAAAAATAATGGCATTTACTATTTTTAAAAGATTATTAGGAAATTTACAGAAATGGTGCATTCGGAAGACAAAACCGTGGTAGACATGGTTGGAACAAGTTAGGTGAGAGGGTGGTGGAGGCCAAAACCATAATCATAATCATCTGTATCAAACCTTATTACAGGTAAAACCAGTAGGCAGTCTACTGTATTTTATCAAACCGTTATTAGTATAATAGATCTCATAATAATTTTGCAAAAATAATGGCATTTACTATTTTTAAAAGATTATTAGGAAATTTACAGAAATGGTACATTCGGAAGACAAAACCGTGGTAGACATGGTTGGAACAAGTTAGGTGAGAGGGTGGTGGAGGCCAAAACCATAATCATAATCATCTGTATCAAACCTTATTACAGGTAAAACCAGTAGGCAGTCTACTGTATTTTATCAAACCGTTATTAGTATAATAGATCTCGTAATAATTTTGCAAAAATAATGGCATTTACTATTTTTAAAAGATTATTAGCAAATTTACAGAAATGGTGCATTCGGAAGACAAAACCGTGGTAGACATGGTTGGAACAAGTTAGGTGAGAGGGTGGTGGAGGCCAAAACCATAATCATAATCATCTGTATCAAACCTTATTACAGGTAAAACCAGTAGGCAGTCTACTGTATTTTATCAAACCGTTATTAGTATAATAGATCTCGTAATAATTTTGCAAAAATAATGGCATTTACTATTTTTAAAAGATTATTAGCAAATTTACAGAAATGGTACATTCGGAAGACAAAACCGTGGTAGACATGGTTGGAACAAGTTAGGTGAGAGGGTGGTGGAGGCCAAAACCATAATCATAATCATCTGTATCAAACCTTATTACAGGTAAAACCAGTAGGCAGTCTACTGTATTTTATCAAACCGTTATTAGTATAATAGATCTCGTAATAATTTTGCAAAAATAATGGCATTTACTATTTTTAAAAGATTATTAGCAAATTTACAGAAATGGTGCATTCGGAAGACAAAACCGTGGTAGACATGGTTGGAACAAGTTAGGTGAGAGGGTGGTGGAGGCCAAAACCATAATCATAATCATCTGTATCAAACCTTATTACAGGTAAAACCAGTAGGCAGTCTACTGTATTTTATCAAACCGTTATTAGTATAATAGATCTCGTAATAATTTTGCAAAAATAATGGCATTTACTATTTTTAAAAGATTATTAGCAAATTTACAGAAATGGTGCATTCGGAAGACAAAACCGTGGTAGACATGGTTGGAACAAGTTAGGTGAGAGGGTGGTGGAGGCCAAAACCATAATCATAATCATCTGTATCAAACCTTATTACAGGTAAAACCAGTAGGCAGTCTACTGTATTTTATCAAACCGTTATTAGTATAATAGATCTCGTAATAATTTTGCAAAAATAATGGCATTTACTATTTTTAAAAGATTATTAGCAAATTTACAGAAATGGTGCATTCGGAAGACAAAACCGTGGTAGACATGGTTGGAACAAGTTAGGTGAG